AAATATTTTTTTTTAAAATCTCACATTCAACATTTTTTTCACTGAATTTGAATGATATTTCTTCGATCTGTTAAACAATAACAAAAAATAAATATATTAACAACTTGTATTATGAAGTATTTTGACAAAATAAACCCATTACATGACTTGTGTTTGTTTCTATAATTATTTTTTGCTCTGTCTGTCAAGATACTTTACTACGTCTCTAAAAAGCATGAATGTCAGCACTTATATCCACTCATCTGAACAGCACATTATTGTTGAAGAAAAAAATACAAGAATAAACTGTAACTATTAAAAATAATCAATTATAATTGTATATTTATTTTACAGCTGTATTGCGCTGTCTATTTGACAGTTGGAAAATGAGTTGACAGAAGTTTGGTCAAATACTCACTGTGCACGTGCATCTGATGGGCGAATTTAACCTGCTTTACAAACATGACGTCCATAATGTTGAAACACTTCACTTGGGATAGACGTAAGTTAAAACGGTTACTGTTGTTTTGGTAGAATCTTCCAGAAAAAGTTCAGGAGTCGACTATTCTACTAAAAAGTTGGCTGGAAACATCAACTTAATCATCATGTTTTGGAATCGGCTATTTTGGCACATTTCCAATCGCAATTTCGCATTCATTCGAAGCAATCTCCGCTCGTGCGCATTTAAACACATGCATTCTCGTGCACGCGCACTTTGCAGCGGGTCCAAGACGGAAATACGCCAAAACACGGTTAACAAACTAGGTACGACAAACAAAAGAACCACCTATCTACATACATAGTTATATCACGAGATGGATTGTAAGACGTCTTACTGTACATTGCACTGGTCTGAGATTCCATCTGCATCCTGATCCTTCTCAACTCGTTTGCATTAAACAGTATGTTTATTTCCCCAAAAATCTAAAACATGAAAAACAAAATGCAATCGTTCCCAAACTCGGTCCTGGAGGGCTGGTGTCCTGCATATTTTAGTTTCAACCCCAATAAAACACACCTGAACCAGCTAACCAAGCTCTTTCTAGGTAGAAACTTCAGGGAGGTGTTGAGAGAAGTTGAAGCTAAACTATGCAGGACACCGGCCCTAAAGGACATGTAACAGCATTTTGATTGTGGACACACATGATATTATTTTGTAACAATTCAAATTATGCATTTTCTTTTTGGCTTAGTCCCTTTATTAATCTGGGGTCGCCACAGTGGAATGAACCACCAACTTGCAGCATGTTTTACACAGCGAATGCCTTTTCTGCAACCCATCACTGGAAAACACCCATACACACTCATTCGTACACATACACTACGGACAATTTAGATTACCTAATTCAGCGCATGTCTTTTGACTTGGGAAACCAGAGCATCCAGAGGAAACTTAAACAAACACGGGGAGAACATGCAATCTCCACACAGAAATGCCAACTGACCCAGTCGGAGCTCGAACCAGCTATATTCTTGCTGTAAGGTGATCATGCTAGGTTCACTTTACAAACTCTATTTTTTGTCACAAAATTTATTAGGGAAAAAAAGGCAATATAAAGTGCTTGGCAAGTTTAATTTGCTCTACCCATTTGTCCCATGAGAAGCATCAAAACTCTTTAACAAGCCAAAATATTTAAAACAAATAAGGTAACAAACAACAGTAACATTCTTCTTCATTGTATTTTAACCAAAGCCTCACTGATTGTAATGGGTAGAGTTAAAATATTCAAGAGAGGTGAAGCTGAATTGAATTACTATAAATTCTTATTACATAAAATAAAAATACTTCTGTCATATAATCATTTTATCACCTTCTGTAGAAGAATATATATTTTAACACTAAAGGAGACCGTTTTTTGTTGTTTCATGTCCCAAAATAAGAAAAAAATACATGTTTGAAATCATACAGTAGAATGAAGAATGCTTATGTAAAGGTATATATTAAGATATGTTTCTGTACAGTACAGTAGTGCTGAGATCTGATATTACCTTCCAAGACTGACTTTTAATTTTTCTTCTGTTCAATTTTCTGGCGCCCTTGGGGTCTTTTGTCCTGTTATTCAAAACCAAATTTTAGGCGTTGGACAGATGGCCTCATATTTGTCCCAGAATACTTGGGTATACAGAGGAGTTCATGGTGGACTCGCTGACTGGAAGCAGTCCAGATTCTGTGGCTGCAAAACAAGCCTAATTCATCAACCTCCTCAGTATCTCATAATAATATTTGTTGCCTTTTTGTGATGTATTTTGTTGCACTGAAAATGGATTTGTGTTTTATACCCAAACACCTTCATTTGGCTCTCCCCTGTGCTAATAACATATTATTTCCATGACTTTAGATACAAACCCATGAAAATAATGTTCCATTTCTACCAGCAAAGTGCTTCAAACATTGAACCCACAGATTTACTAGCAATGTCATACACACAGCTGGACAGAGAGAAAAACATATACAGTATGTCCTTTAAAGCAGCATATTGACCGAGCAACATGAAATGAGAAAACCAGGCTGAACCGCATCTCTATTAATGTTCAACAATATTAAATGTCCCAGGTTTTACGTTCTATTCATATTCTTTTTTGTCATTGTAATGTTATCACAGTACATTCGAGGCATTTACATTCTCATAATGTTACTTTTACATCAAATCAGTACCAGAGACACAATTTCACATGCACAATGTCATATTTATTCACACAGTTGCCCACTAAAATGGACTCATAATGGGCTCAATGAGCAAGATAACACAATGGCATACAGGCTCTTTAATAGATAGCTCTTGATTTTAATGACCACAGCGCCACCCTGTGTCTGTAATAAGCCAGTTTAAAAAAAAAAAAAAAAAAAAAAAAAAAAGAGACATAAAAACGAACAAAAAGGACAGAAAAAAAAATCCTACCAAGAAAAACACAAATTTAATATTCTGAGCCAGGCAGAGAACGTAGGCTTTTATTTCGGTTCTCATATTTTCCATAAACTTTAGAACAGTGACAAACTAATTTAAATAGCCATAGAATCAAACAATTTTGGTATAACAAAACGTCTATTAAAAAATATAAAAAGAAAATAATTTTAATCAAGCCTTTTCCATTCAATGTTGTGCAAGTTACTTTAAGATTAGTATAATAGACTAGAAATAATGATTCTTTTAAATTCTAAATATTGGTGTAGAAGAGTTTAAAGAATTTAAAGTTTAAATTCCTACATCAACACATGGAGACAAACAGTATCAAGTTAAAGCACTTAAAAAAAAAATAAAACTATATATATATATATATATATATATATATATATATATATAGATAGTCTCTTCTGTGTTATTACCCAGACAAACAATTCACAAGAATCTGTGACCATTATGAAACATGCATTTTTTCAGTGTGTGTTTATATATATATATATATATATATATATATATATATATATATATATATATATATATATATATATATATATATATATATATATATATATATATATATATATATATATATATATATATATATATATATATATATATATATATATATATATATATATATATATATATATATATATATATATATATATATATATATATATATACCCTGATATTCAATGTCTGGAATATACCTTTTAAAATCCAACTTTTTAGGCACTTTTGGGAAACCTGATTATAGCATTTGATTTATGAGGGCCTGTAAAGGGCCTGTAAAGCTTCTTCCTCCTCTGCCATCCACAAGATCTTACCTTTAGTCTCTTCTCCTGCATTACCCAGTCTGTGCGGTACTGATGCAGTTCAGATGCAGCTTTCTGAGCTTTCTCCTCGAGCTGCTTCATGTTTTGTGTTAAAAGCTGTCCCTGTTTCTTGGCGGCCTGCAGGGCTTCCACATCTGCAGCATGCAGCATGAGCTCTCGCTCGTATTTATTCTGAGCCTCTGCAGCCAGCTTAGCCTGAAGCAAAAAATATAAGACACAGGTAAGTAAACATAAGAAATTCTACAATTAGCTGCCTGAAGACATGATTGGCTAATTTAGTGTAAGAGTTTCACATCTACCTGTACTTTGCTGTCCTGTGTGGCTTTCTGCTCCTGAGTGACTGCTGCTGTAGATCTCTGCAGAGCTTCCTG